CTTAGGGGACCCCAAATGATGGCTTTCCTTTTGGGTTTTGTTTGTGAAACCATGAAAAGGGGGTACCCTCAAAGAAAGACACACCCATTCCTGAGCCTGTCTGTCTTCGTGAGTACGTTGTAAGTGTACCCGTTCAGTTCAAATGAAGCGAGACGAAGCAATTGCCACAACAAAGACTGACAGCGCTGAGATCTACCTTGTCACCGCGTGATTTGTGATCTTGAGTCACTGCGTGCCTGCGTGGGCGGAAGCATTTCGGGTTCAGGTAGTCCCGGAATTGGGTCAACCCTAATGATCTACGCTATATAGGTGCCAATCACATGGCAAGTTGTAGGGATCCTGAGCCGAACCTCACCCCTCTTTCCGAGCTCCGATGGTTGAACCCACAAATCGCGCTGTGCGGCTCGAGCTTCCCCAAGCTGCGTCCCCTGGTGAAGTCCACAGGAAGGTAAACGAAGTCGTACCTGGCGAGTTGTACCCAACCTTCTGCCACCAAAAAGCTGCAAACACCTTCCACAGGACTCGAATGCACATAGCATCCAGCAAAAGTCCGGAGAACCAAAAATCCGCGCCTGCCACGGAAACCCGCCCAGTCCAGCAGCTCGAGGATATTGTTGCGAGTGAACCTCTCGAGTTGTCTATTTCGGGACGCAGAAAGGTCTCCCACTGCAAAAGGGTACCAACTTTTTCCTGTAGTCATCTGTAGTCTATTTTAGTAGGGAACCCAAAACCCCCCCAAAAAAGAGTGAGAAAGGGCACTACTGGGGGACCTAGCCAGACAAGCCATCCAGAAGTTCTGCTTGCGCCCGAGGCCACCGCTGCTGCGGCACATTGCGAAGCATCACCTTGGATCAAAGGCCCGCAGCTCAGGAGTTGCCCCAGCAACATGGAACCTGACGTTCGGGGCCCGGTCCCTTGGAAAGGAAACATGGCCTTCCCCCGAACGTCAGGTTACATGTGAATTGGTGTGAGGCTAGTCACATTGAAAGAAGCATTCATGAATGTGAACTCCACTCGCAGGTGCACTGTGAAGAGGATGTTCCGGAGCGCCGGAAAAACGACGGGTGCTGAGAGCCAGGCAGTCATCCTTTCAGCATCGTCACAAATGTCGCCGTTGTCATCGTCACCTACGTCACCTGTGCAGTGTCACAAGCACACTCAGGAGGCTATGTGCACGGATTGAGAATAGATTGCCTGTTGCTGCGGCTACCGAACCACCTGTACTTCGCAGGCATTCCAAACTGCTCAAAGAGGCCTCTGGCACCCATCTCTCTCCATTCCGCTTTATCCCAAATGTGGCTCAAAATTAAAAGAACTTCGGGTTACGCAGGTCTTAGTGTTTGGTTCCATTTGCCAAGGTTCCATTTTGGTACCTCTTTTTGCACCACTGACAAATCCGGCCTGCCAGCTCCTCCAAGGCGGTCGCATTGCCCACAGCTTCGGCGGGTTGCGCTGTACTGGAGCTGCTGGGGTGTCGAAGAAAGCCCGAAGGCACGTCGCCAACGGCCAATTCAGCTGGAGCATGGCCTGCAAAATAATTTTCTGAATATGGAGCATTTCGCAGGCGCCAGTTGGGATTGGTGAAGCCCAGGCGCCATTTCCCAGGCGCCAGTTGGGATTGGTGGGTCGAAAATAGGGGAACCCCAAAATTGGCTTGCCCTGGCAAATGGAAAGGACTAAAACCTGCGGTCGCATTCCTGGTGGGTTAATTTCGACCCATGGCAGTCATAGGTTTTGTGAATCTGGGTCGCCTGGTTTTCACTGGTCAGTTGCGAATCTTGGGCTGTAAAGAACACAGCAACCCCTTTCCGTCTAGGATCCTGCAGGCGGTTGCTGGGTCATTTGCGCGGTCGAATTGAAACACACTTCGAAGCCCTGCTCCAAAAGAGGGTGATACTTGACCATCCGACGCCTCCCCAACACGGAGTTGGATTTTGATCCGCAGCTTTGCACAAACAAGCAAGAGGCATCAACTTTCGTCCTCCTGGTGTACTTGATGCATGGAAGTGTAGCACATCAACCGCATCCAGCAAAGCACTACGGCCCAAGCGCATTTCACAGGGATCTGTACATTATACACCTGAACATTGCCTTGTAAATGGTGGTTTCCCTATATTTTGGTGTTGAAAAAGCAGCATGTTTCAAATGGTTGCAAAATGTATCCTTTATTTAAGGAGCCCTGTTTCATGTACCGGTAAACTCCGAGGTGCGTCGTTGAACATGCAGCCTCCTGCAGCTCCCGGAACGTCATCGGTTTCAGAAGCCGCATCTGCCTGCCGAAGCTACTTTGGACGCCATGAACCGAAAAGGACAAGGGACAAACCATGCCACCCCATGCTATGGTTGCTTCCAACACGTTCTAAAGGTTGGCAAGATGTAATGTCGACCATGCAGCTCCAAACGCCCTTCCCTTTTTTTTGTGAGGCCCGTTTCACGCTTCCCCCGGGCCTGAGGAGACAAAATCCCGGCCGCAGTCAAGACAGCGTCGCATGACTGCGCCCTCCGCAACTCGCGGGGGCTCTCCTCCTGACAACTGCAGATAAGCCCCGACGCTCCAAACTCGCGACCAAGCGTCCCTTTCCGGTCAGCTGGGGTGCAGATCCGTCCTCCACGAGCTCAAAAAAAGAATTCCTCACCACCAAATGGATACATCGCCCTCGGCCGCTCTGCAGCTCGCCCAGATTCAGCCTTAGAAAAAGAGACAAATCCATGCCTAGGCATCAAGAACCTCCAGTTGACCTGAACCTTCGGAGTTGCAATTTGCCTCATCGGGATGCTGCGGGATCTCAAGAGCCGATCTCTGACATGAACTTTGCTAACGCTCTAGCCACAACTAGCCAATCGCCCCTGAATAGCCAACCACCCACATGGCTGTGACTCAAAAAAACAAAATTCCAAAATGGAACCCTGGTAAGCGGAAACATGGACCAAAACCTGCGTAACCCCTCCGGTTTAATTTTGAGCCACACCCACATCTACATCTCCACATGAATGAAATGTTCCTTCGAAGCCGCGACGCATGGCAAGGCTGAGGGCCACACTGCGACAAACTTTCAGGAGTATGTCCCTCAAGGATCTCTTCAATGCTCACGGTGGTGGCCTATAGCGCTAAGCTGCGTATTCCATGCACACACTGGTGCCGGATTACATGCCTTTTTGCTCACCCCAGTTTGCCAAATATGCTGGGCTCATCGTCCAAAGCGCAACAGAATGAAACCAACAGTGTTCATGAACGCCTTCCGCCAGACTGCCACATGAAAACCAAGCCTCAGCAAAAGTTTGTTGCTCGGATCGAAACACGCAGATTCTGCTTCTGACGCCTGTCCCTGCTCCAACTCGTGCTCGTGCGCCTCCCAGGAGACTCTCCGCACTTGCCAAAAAACGGACAACAACTTGCTGGTGCTCAGGGAATGAGGGAATACACCGCATTTCCCGCAAAGGAAGCCACCAATGGTTGAGGGTCATTCCAACTCATTCCCTGCGTCTCTCGCAAGACGAGGTGTCAACGCGTGCGCGGATGCACACGCCTCCTCCGGTCCGCGGCCCAGGAGCCGAACCACGATGCCGCCTCAAAGCCAACGCGCCGTGAGGAGTTGCTCGTGAGGCAGCATGCCCTCTGAGTGCGGCACTATTCAGGAGGCGCTCGAACCTATCCCCAAGGAGCTTCTCACAGCCTTTTCGCCTGAGTTGAGCCAAGATGTGCCCAATGCCAGGTCAGGTTTCAGATGTCTCTCTCAGAAACCCTGCCCTGGCATATGCTTCACACTTGACCGAGCCCGGTGCGCGATGTTGGCCGCTCGGACAGCTACCGCTGGAGTTCCCTCAGTGTCGTCCGTCAACTCTTTCTGCTTCTCCTGGCAAGGAAGGAGCCATCCGTATTAGGCGAATCAGCCCATATAGCTGAGCCCACCTAAGCATGAAGCAACTATGTCCATGGCAACTTTTGACTCATGTCTGACATGGTTCCTTTGTGCAGTAGCGTCTTGCTTCGGAAGAATACAGAGTGAAGACAGCAAAACACATGCCCCCCCAATGATCTTCAAAGAGGTGCGCTCCTCAAACCAGCGCACTGCATCCTCTGAGTTTCGTTTTCGGTTTTCTGCATTCGGAGTAAGATCAAAAGCCGCCAAGCTCAAGCGCGCTTTGCATCTGAGACCCAGGGAAGCCCACTCAGATCATCGGCATCACAGGCATGTTTCGGGGTTTGATGCTTTCAAGTTTTCACTTCAGGCTCCATTATCTTACGGTGTTACCGTCTCCAGGCTTCTGCGTTGCTCCTGCCATCAATGCGGTGATGCTGAGAACGCGTCTGACCTTATGCATCTTGATACTTCAGCCACACTCAAAACCCGGTATTAACATAGCCTACCCAAAGCCGCGCTAAAGAGTCAAAAAGGCGGAATTCCGCACCCATTTGGCTGTGGGTCGCAAATAGGCGCCCAAAATGGAACCCGAAACACGGACTAAAACCTGTGGTTCCTTGGTTTAATTTTGACCCATCATTTGTGGCTCCCATTCGCCCGGGTTTTTTCAAAAAGCCTCCCTCGACCTCCCGTCAGAACGTCCCATCGATTCGACTTCCTGCGCCCAGCTGTGAAGACCTCTGAGAAGCTCCCAGAGCTCTTGAATCCGCAGGACGTGCATCAAAGAGACGCAGGTGTCCTCCGGAAGAAAAAAGAAGCGTCGGACCCCACCCGATGCGCTGGGCTTGAGTAGTTCTCCATTCGAGTTCTTGCTCGGACCAGTGGAAAATTCGCCACCCGATGCGGTGGGCTGGAGTAGACCTCAATTCTTGCGTTTTTGTCCAAAGGAAAGTTGAACAGAAGTCCAGTAGTGATAGATTCCCTTTAAAGCCAACCGGGGAACACAAAACATATACTTAAGCAAATGGAAGGTATTTGTTCATGGCATCTGCACCAGCTCTCAAACCGCACGTTTGCAAACCCAAGGAAGGTGCGCCGAATGAAAATAAAACACGAAAGTGGGAGCTCTCTAGACATGAGCAAGGCTCTGGCCGATTCTTAGCATCATTAGCAAACCCGCCATGCACAAACAAATATGTAGGTGTATGCATACAATGCAAACTTTATATGAATAGAACAAATATGTAATTCGACAAACGTAGCCAGAATCATCCTCAGTCACGGCCACACAAACAAGCCATATTAGAAGCCCGCCAAGCAGACCTGGTTGCGGCATCGCAGACCCTGCCTGCACACCGACGAAGGTCACTCTGACGGTGTGAGACGTTGAGAGCGGCATCGCGAACGTCTGCAAAACCTGAGAGACGGTCAACAGCTCGGCAAGCAGTTGAGTTCTTCTGCCTCACATCAACTGCCAGGCGTGAAGCAAAAATCAGTTTTGGTCATGTTGGGTCTTTTGGGTTGCCCAAACAAGCAACGCCTCCATCCCGCTGGAAAGGCCACTCATGCTGACTGAATGGCCTGTTCTGCAGCTCAATCCAAATTGCCTGGCTTTTCTAGACAGACATCAAGTTGGGACTCCGACATTTTCTCTAGGCAAGAACACAACATGATCAGAGTTAGGCCCAGTTATAGAATGTAGATTTTATTGTTTGCTTCACTTTGAGTCACTGGTTGTAAAATGTATCCTAAGTCTACCCCAGACAAAGCTGGGACTCCGACATGTTCACGAGGCAAGTCAATTGTGGGCACGGTATGATTTTCCGTGATGCCCCTTTTCATCCTGACCTTGTGATAGGAGCTCTTAGAGTGTTCCACAAGCAGCTTGGGCGGGATGGTTTCATGCGACTCATGTTGCTGCGCTACGAAGGAGCTGCCCTGGAAAATCTCTAGGGCCCCAAGACTTGTGCTGAACAAACTCGGCCTCGTGCGGCCTCCCTCCCATCTTCCCGCGACTTTTTGGGCAAAGCTACTTGGCTGGAGATCACCCTGGGCACGTCCAAGAAGCCAAATGGACGATCATCTGCAGAGCCGAGTTCCGACAACGGACGACAGTGTCAAAAAGCAGGGGGTCTCGTGGATGAGAAATAAGGATTGCAGTAATTTGGTCAACCCCGACAAGTCCTTCAGCCATTGACGAAGTTGCTTTGCCTTCTCGCGACTGCCCCCGCAGAGACAACTTGGGACAACTGCTGGCTTGCGCTAGCTGCTGTAGCAGGCTCGATCATTTTATTTACTTTTGCAGCCATCGCGAGGTCGGGAACTCTATTTGGCTGCCTCCAGCAATCTTTGAAGGGTGGTGCTCCCCTGTTCAATTCGGAAAACAAACGCCTGCTTTGAGCATGAGCGAACCCCGGTGCAGCAGGATCAAGTGAAGCATCCTAACAGGTCATATGAGCCGTTTCCAATTCATCAACTCACTTGCCCAAAGGACACAGAAATCAAAGGCTAACCTTTGGACAATAGAGTCAAGGATGGCCATAAAGTTCGGCTGAAAACGGCCACAAAAGTGGAGGCTTCCCACTCAAAGGGGACACCTCCGAGGTTTTGTTGACCCTGCCCAGTGGTTGGGAACCTTCCCAAAGCGTCAGAGTGGCTGTTTATTCATCCGGATTCCCATTAGCCACTTTAAAAATTCCGGGTTGGAATTCAATTCATCAAACTCACCGGTTTCCAAAACGGCTCCCACCTCCATGTTGAACTTCCTTGACTGCCTGACGGCCGAAATGGCCCAGTTTCCGATGGCGAAGGCGTTTCCAGCATTTCACCCAACCATTCCAGAGAGGCCGCCACTGTTTTCAGCCGCGAGTTTGAAAAAACAGCCTCTGAGCAGACCTTTGATAGAGCAGTCACAAAGTGACTGCTCTTGTGCTTTGCTGTCAAATCTCTGCGACAGCTAGCTATCCGCGATATGGGTATGGGTCAAAGTGAAACCACCAGGGGACTGCGGGTTTTAGTCCATGTCCCATTCACCAGACCAAGCCATGTGGGGCTACCCTATGTCCATATAGGGTGGGGCGAAAACCAAATCTAGTCGGGGGAAACCCTGCCTTTCGCTTTCCCGGGCCCCTTTGGGGCCTCGTGATTGTCCTGATTCTCCGTATCCGCCAGCTGCAGCAGCAAGTCCAACACTGCCTGGCTTGCCACCATGGGTATTTAGGGGAAATGGATTTGGATGGCACTGGTAGATGATTTTTCACCAAGTGCCAGGAGATGTCCCGTCCATGGGGAGCTGTGCCCTTTTTGGTAACCAGATGTTGAGAGTTGCTCTCGTGCCCAGTTGAGGCTTGGGTACCACTCCAGACGGTCAAAGTAGAAACCGAATGGATTGAAAGGATGGCAAGCATAGGTGTCCCTCTTGGTTGTTTTGCTAGACAAATAGTAGGCGATTCCTGGTTTACCTGATCGAACGGGTCACTTGACATCTGAACTCGGTTGCTTTCTGCTCCCCTGCTAAAAGTTTAACTTTTAGTGGTTTAATGGAAAACCCACTAGTTGGCAAAAAAGTTAAAGTCCGAACATCCCTTGGCAAAATGCACCAAAGTGAAGGCCCAGGCCTCCGTCCTCTCTAGCAGGCCCAAGCCAAGTGCCAGGACATTGCCCTGCGACAGAGACATCGACCGATCCAAAGCCCACCATGCCCATGTCCTTTGGGCCGGCGAAACCATCGCAAAAAAAGTGGGGCCCTTTGCCGGGGGGGCTTCAAAAAAGAGTCCTAATATGGGGCGCGGTCCCACAAAGTTGGGGGTGTTCCAGAAGAGGTGTGTTCCAAAATCATTCTGGCTGACAGGAAACCATCCCGCCATGGAAAACATCGATCATTCTGGCTGACAGGAAATCATCCACCATGGAAAACATCGATCATTCTGGCTGACAGGAAATCATCCCGCCATGGAAAACATCGATTTGGGTTGAATGATGACTTGGGCGGGCAGTTGGCGGGGAACTATGCGCCATGGGGGAAAGACAAAATCCCGTGTGTCCAAATGTGGGGGAGATCACAACTGCGTCCTGCTGATCCTTTTCAACCCATTCCAAAGGTCGCCTTTCAAGGCGTATAGCTATGTTTAGATGTTGTGTGTATATGTATACATTATACGTATGGCTATGAATTTTAGTAAGGAACCCTTTGGTGGACATGATGGGGATTCATGTCCATATGTATATTACAAACACATGCACAACTACCTGAATAACAACACAACGAGCACGAATGCCTGCATTGAACCAGCCCCCCAGATTGAAGGCCGAAAGCTTCACGCTCGCTCAGCCCCCCACGCGAAGGCCCGATTGGTGGTGCTTCGTATCAAGGCTCTGCCTCAGCTTCGCGCAGAAGCTGCGGGGATGTGCACAGCAAAAAAAAATATCGGAAGGTCGGAAGGTGAGATCTGAAAGGCTGCAACCTACCTAGGTCCTCCAGTAGCGAGGTTAGAATAAGGGTACCCTTTTTTCTGTAGTCGATTTTAGTAGGGGAACCCTCCCCCCAAAAAAGGGTAAAAGGGCGCTACTGGGGGACCTAGTTACTGACTCTTTCGAATTGATGCGAGATCCGTGCTAGCGCACGCCTGGGGTCGCCGCGTATTTGAAATCGTCAATCCATGCAGGCGAGCCCGAGTTTGCAGTACGCGCGAGGTAAAAATCGCGCCTCAGTGCAGGGTCCCAACACCCGAAGACTGCGAACCTGGTCCAGCACCATTGCAACGGACACTGGTTCGTTGTCTGCCTCAAACCCTGGACTTCAACCTGTTTGCGGCCATGGTGAGATCTCCAGGAAAAGACTCCCGAAAGCACCCCGCACAAAAATGGGCCCGGTGTCTCCACCGGTGTCTGGCGCTCTGCCAGGTCACGCAAAGAGTCAATGTGGGCTGCCCCCAGGTCCAAAGTGGCCTCGACAAGCAGCCGAAGACCCCATCGCAAGGGAGGCACGATCAAAACCGATAGGAACTAAAATGGTTTACCAAAAGGAACACAAAAGGAAACCAACCATTTTGGGGTTCCCATCAACAAGACACACACAAATCACTTTATCACTGATTCGTAGCCAAAACCGATCGGTGTGAACATGGTCTACTCGGAACCATGCAAAGAATGAACCAGGCGTCTGCACCCCTTTTTTGGTTGGGATTATCCCTTACTAACCTTCGCCTTCATCTACCCGGTTTTTGATTGTCGCTTAAATGGTCTGCAGCGGCTTGGTCCAAACCATGTCTTAAAGCCAAAGTGACCCCCCTTCTGTTGATTTCCCGCAATCCACTGAAACCACTCTCAACCATCGCTAGTTGAGGTCGATGGTGTGAGGTTGTGTGGGGTGGCCTACCCTGCTTGAAAAAAAGGTGACGATCAACAGCAAGCCACCAACCTCCAATCCCCAACCACGAACAACCACCTGGATTGGCAGCGCTAACTTTGCTGTTAATGTTGAACCCCAGTTTATTCATAGGGGGGTGTCCCCTCCAAAAGTCATGATTCCCCACTGAACCCAGGGACACCCCCCCTCAATAAGCTGGGGTTGATTCATAGAGGGTCGTGTCCTTTTACGGGAAATACGTGGCCCTGGTAGATGATCAAACCACCAGGTAAACCAGGAATCGCCCTCTATTTTTCGACCCACACAACCGAAAAGGACACCTATGGGGTCAACCTTCGTTCCTTCGCGCGGCGCAAAGGAAACACATCTCGCCTCCTTGAGCCGGCCGTAGAAGGCAGCCTCCCGGGGCCGGTAGGCCGGAGCCTGTCGAGGCGACGCGTTTTTTGGTCGCCTGGCCCTGGAATTTCGCAGCCTTGGTCATAAACAACTAGGTCCTCCAGTTCGCCGAGGTTAGAGATTAAGGGTACCCGTTTCTTTTCTCTTTTTTCTCTGTTTTTTCTGTAGTCTATTTTAGTAGGGGAACCCTCCCCCAAAAAAGGGTGAGAAAGGGCACTACCGGGGGACCTAGATAAACAACACGAAAGGCACGCATCCAGAAAAGATGCCATGCACGAGGTCTGCTTCCTTCGCGCGATTGGAAGCTGGCACGCCGCTTCCAAAGCCAGGCCAAACATGTTGGAATGAGCGGAAGGCACCCTTGCGCAGGGAATTCTTGCTTCCTGTTTGAAGTGTGGGGGTGACAAAGTGAAGAAGCGTCAGTTGGGTCTGTCACCCGCTGTGACCCCCTTAGTATCATCCGATGTCCTAATTGTCCCCCAATATCTGTTGGCAAGCCCTGGCGACCGGACCACAGGCATCGGAAAGGCCTTTCCAAAGCTCGAGGTCTCCGATCTTCGCGACGGAAGCTCCATCTCTCCTCACCAGCGAGACGAGTGGCGAGTCGGCCGCTAAAAATGGGTCCACACCCAAACAGCCTCTCCTCAACTCAGAACTCCGCCGACAGCTTCAAAGCATGCTGTCAGGCTGGTGAGCTTGGATGGCTGCACGGGTTTCTATCCCAATTAAGGAGATAACAAACAAGGAGGGCGCCCCCCTCCATACATTTGGCTGTGGGTCAAGAATGGGTATTCAAAATGGAACCCTGGCAAATGGCACCAAGGACTAAGACCTGCAATCCCCCAGTGCTTTAATTTTGACCCGTACCCATTATTCCCCCTGCACCCACCAAGGGAAGCCTTTGGGAATAATAATAATATGCCCTTTTATTGGGAATGTATGCCCCCCTTTCCATGCAGTAGTTGCACTTTGTGGATTCATGTGTCTACTTTAGAACTGCTAAAAGCGGCAAAGCTTCCGATATGATATCGCCGCTCTGCTCTCTGATTCTCTGGAAACAGCAGGCTGTGGAACAATACGGATCACCCTGACATGTCGCGCTGGTGAACATTGCTGGGGCGAAAAACATGGCTGCCACTCATGAATTAAGATGAATTCCCAAGCATGGGCGAAGCCAGCCCCTATTAAACAAGTTTGAAGACACCTCCTCTTAGCTCCCCTTCAAACTTAACTTGTGGTGGCTTCTTTTGAAAAAAAAACTCACACACTTTCGGTTGGTTTTGCCAGGGAAACCAAGAGGAAAACCCTTGGTCCATTTTGGGGTGTCCTTTAATAAAGATATTCATACTATATTATGTATAATATATATATATATATTATTTAAAAAAAAAAGGCCTTTTGCCCTCCCTGCGAATTCCGCCCTTTCTGCGCGGACTTTGTCGGACGCCCTTTCTGCGCGGCCGAAGCCGGCCTTTGCCCTTCGGGCGTGGGCCGAAACCGAGAAACCGAGCTCAGGGGTGCTTCTCCAACCAGAAGACCAGGAAGAAGAGCCAAAGATACCTGCAATTCTTGGTTGACGTTGGAAGGGGAGCAAAACTTTAAATTTTAGCAGCTAAGTGGTGATTTCCCACCCAACCGCAATAAGCAAACATGTGAAATGTTTCCCAACAACAACCATGAATTGGGGCTTCAAAGCATGCTCGGTTTCCTTTGTTTCACTTACCAGCCAAAAGGGGGGGTCCGAATTTCAAGATCCCAATTCAGCTCTTTTAGGGCGCTGATCAAGCCTCTGAATTGGCTTCAATGAGCACTCGCACCCAGGATTTTCCTTCGCTCGCCGTCACATCAGCGCCGGTTTCAGCGCCTTTGCGCGGGACGTGGTGAAACTGTGTGCTGAAAGGATGGCAAAAGTCCTGTGACATATCCTCTCAATGATGATCGTTGATGATAAATTAAAGCTGTGTGTCATGCATACATTGTGCAGTCTCTTGGATCTGATTTGTGTCTGCTCCGGCACATCGGAACCATCTCTCTTCGGGTGGAGCCGCGCATTCACTTCCCGCCTCCCTTCCGCTTGCTCAATTCGGCAATCGTTCGTAAAGACTCATTGACGCGTTCCGTCGATTCTTTCTTGCACCTGCACGGTGCACTCACATATGTTTGCCCCCCCAGAAGTGGTTGGACATAACTTCCATCCGAAGTCCAGCTAAACTAAACGCCAACAAGGGAAAACAACCAACATATTCATTTCAGAAAATATACCCTGGTACAACCAACAAGAGATGTTTGCTTTCAACCAAACAATTTCTAGGCAAATCCTGCAGTTTGGCCGGTGGGTCATGATCGAAACCTGGCACAAAGATGGTGAACTTAAGGGACAACAACCAAACACCTATTCATTTCAGCAAATCGAAGGTTCAACATATTCATCTCAGCAACTATATATTCCCTTCTAAAACCCAAAAAGGGATTTTGGTTGATCAAAAACCCAAGCAACTGCACGTATTTAGACCCCAAGCTTTGTCCGTTGGCCTGTCGCGCTCTTGCTGGTGCACGTCGGCCGCATCTTCCTCTGGACCCGCCGGGCCCTGGGCCGGGAGCCAAATTTGCACGCCCGGGCTTTAAGAGGGTGGCTTCCATTGCAAGCTTCTGCCCCCTGGGAAAAAATGTCCATCAGTAAAAAAAAGAAGAACAAGGAAAAAGAAAAAGAAATAAATAAGCAAAACAAAATAAATAAATCCAGTAGTCATGGTTTCCTTTTTAAAAATCAAGCGGGGAAAGTAATACAATATTCTTCAAACTTCAGCAAATGGAAGGTAGGTGTCAAATAGGGGACCTCAAATGATGGTTGACCTTTGGCTTCCCTTCAGAAGGTGAAAAAAGGGCTCCCTCAAAATAACACAAGCCCAAGAAAATCTCTTGGACCCATGTTGGCTCGTAGCTTCAACTTGCGGGGTGTATCAGTTGATTGCATCAAGCTTCGGAAGCCTTGGTAGAGCAACCGCCAGGGGCATCCCTATGTGTAGAAAAAGCTCGAAGCGGGAAGCTAGAACAAGGCCCGTTACACGATTCGTTGGATCTGGGTGACTTGAAATAAGAGACCCCTAAACTACGCATTTTGCCACTCGGAACAAGACGAAACCAAAGTTGATTGGCCTCGATGTTAAACAGGCGTCTCTCAAACATGCCATGTCCTAAAGTCCAAAAGATAGGTGAACGTTCCCTTGCTCAGAAAAACCACGGTTGCGCGCACGTGTTTCTTCCCGTGGTTTCTCCTACTTTGATCAACCATTCGGTGAGTCAAACCGCCAAACGGCGAAGCGGGGAAACGATCGGAGCCTGACGAGAAGGCGGCCGCCCCGCATCCAGGGAGGCGGGCACACGACAGTTCACCTGGGGGGCGGGGTGGGATGGAAGCTTGAAGACTAGATCCGGTTGCAACAAGAAACCAATGGACATTCGAAGAGGAAACCCCTGGTTTTGGTTGTGCACATGTCCGGTAGAAATACACCCATGGGATCCCACCGAGGTTGGGGTTATGCACATGTCCGGTAGAATTCCCTCCAGCTGGTTTCTATCAAGAGGGGTTTTGGGGAATGAGCCGGAAGGGGCTCCCCTGCTGTAACAGACCGCGAGGAACTGTTTAGGGGGCACCGTGCTGAGAAACGGTAAGGAATACACTGCGCGAACCTCGAAGCTCAGTTTCAAGAGCTACAAGTTATCTGAATGGCCCTCTCTCCGCTCCCAATCTTTGCCTTGCTCGGTCAAGCTTCAAAGGCGCCGGAGGCATCACCTTTGGGATCCCATAGTTGTTTCCTTGAATCAATGCTTCCCTATGAGCCTAACGGGCCGAACGGTGATGTTTTTTTTCCTCCTGGCAAGTCTGGCAAGTCCTTGATGATTCGGCCGGGGACAACTGGATCTTCACTGGCGTGAATCAACGCAAGCGAACTCACTCTGGCGGCACTACTAGAATTTCCCCTACCCAACGCCAGCTCTTGTCAAATGGGAAAACTTCCTGCTTGAAAAGGCATACTGTGGAAGGATGAAATCCTGCACCACGTTGAAACCATGGGAAGCCATTGTTTGTTGGTATTTGCAGAGAAATCTTCATTTCAGGGTTTCTTGGGTGGTGATGGTGGTGCATAATTTCATCCATCCACAGTATGGATCCGTCTCCCAACCATTTTGTTCGGAGCCCAGAGTTTTTCAGAGCCCAGATCTGTTGACCCTTTGCCTTCAAGAAGTCCTTGTCGGCCAATAGCCTCCTTGCCTGGCAAGCAAGCTCTTCTGGCTACCCTGCCGCGACCGACCCTTTTTTCGTGCCACATTTGGCCATAGGTCAAAATCCAAATCGTAACCACAGTGAACATCCTCAATCCCCACGCCCCCCGGAGCATATGATGTCCCCTTTCTCCCAAGCGCGATAAATCAGGCCGTCTCTCGGTCTTCGGGAGCCACGGGTGTCTGTTTTCGGAGATTGCACCCTTGCAAGGGGCTGTTTTACAAGGAACACAACGAGAGAGGTGCTATTTGGGCGGTTTTCAGACCCATTTTGGGGTTGTCTTAATTGAAGGGAACCAAACGGAAGGGGAGGTACCCTCATTTTGAGACAACCCTGCATTTGCTTAGGTCCCCTAGTGGTGATAGATGCCCTTTAAAACAAACAGGTTGGAAAAGTGACATATTCTCAAGCAATTGGACGGTTCAACCCCATTGCTGGAAACACACCCGATCCAGGGTGTACGCGCCTCGTGATACTCCTTACTCGCCACCTGCGACATGTTCTTCCTCTGCACCTTGCGCGAGCCCGAGGGCACGTGGCTGACTTGGGCTTAAAACCCCTCACAAAAAGTCAAACGCATGCGGATCTCAAAAGCAAGCCCACTGTAAGGAAGGAATTTGCCGCCAGTGGAACAAGGAAGCTGCCCGTGTGGACCAAGCTCAAAAGCATCGGGCTGCATGGCTTTGGTACACTTGGTCCCATTCGCCGAGAGTGTGACCCCCGCCACACGCCTTGCCAGAGGAAATCTGCTGAACAATGTGGGCGATGAACTTGTCAACAGCTCGCTGCATCTGCTGGTAAAAGACCTGAGTCAGGATCAAAAACCGATCGGCATTACAGTGGTCCAAGCATCTTAACATGTTTCACCAATTAAGAAGGCGCAGAAGGCACCATGTATTCTTACTATCCTTCATCTACCCGGGATTTGAGCAAGTGGGGTTCAGCAGGTTGAGAACTGAAGCGTCTTTAAGCTGATCCATGTGTGCTTGAGAGCCGGTCTCAGAAATTGTTTGCCCAGTCCTTGCTGCAACCTCTGGAAACCACACTGCAGAGTCACCCACAAAATGGAAAATTGTTTTAGGTGCATTAGCAAAGGAGCGATCTCCACTAACTATTTGCCGGGGCAAATTGAGGCAATGCCTAATAGAAATCCTTTTTCCCAAAAACTTTCATCTTCATCGTTCGCCTGTTGCCCAGCCCTTACGAGCTCGGCTTCCGATTCTGGGGAAACATGCAGAATTCGGGGCATGACTGCCTTGAACCTGTGGCTGTGGCTCACAAAAGTGTACCAAAATGGCACCTTGGTAAATGGAACCAAAGACTAGAACATGTGTAACCCTAGCTCTTAAATTTTGAGCCACACCCATGCGTGAAAAAACACACCACTATGCGTTTAGAACACCAGGGGTCCATGGACTTCCCCGAATCAAAATTGATCATTGACTGGTGGTTCCCATTGCAACAAACGATCGCCACGTTTGGAGGTTCCGTTGAAAGGAAATGGCTGGGGTTTCCCGTGACAACTTTCTTGGGATTATTTTTCTTGCCGGTGCTCGGGGAATGACAACGAGTCCGGGTTTTGGGAATGAACCGTTCGAACATGACCGCCAAAATGGGATCCTTTTTCTTGTTGCTCAGGGAACGCTTAAAAATTCCCCGAAAGGAAACCAAAGCGGCTGGATGTATCCTCGGGGTCGTTCCTACCGAACCCGCGAAACTTTTGCTCACGGGCAAAAGTAGAGGTCCTGGCTGGAAGGTCCGAGGGCTTCTCCACGCGGACGCAATCCTGGCGGAAGCGGGTGGCTTCGCCAAGAAAACACCCTAGCTGGAACAAACTCGTACTAGAAAGGCTGTGCTCTGTGTTTGTGTTTGTGTTTGTGTTTGTGCTTGAGCTTGTGCTTGTGCTTCTGTGTGTGTGTGCTTGTGCTTGTGCTTGTGCTTGTGCTTGTGCCTGTGCTTGTGTTTGTGTTTGTGTTTGTGTTTGTGCTTGTGCTTGAGCTTGTGCTTGTGCTTCTGTGTGTGTGTGTGCTTGTGCTTGTGCTTGTGCTTGTGCTTGTGCCTGTGCTTGTGTTTGTGTTTGTGTTTGTGTTTGTGCTTGTGCGTGAGCTTGTGCTTGCGTGTGTGTGCTTGTGCTTGTGCTGGTGCTTGTGCTTGTGTTTGTGTTTGTGTTTGTGTTGGTGTTGGTGTTGGTGTTGGTGGTGTTTGTGTTTGTGTTTGTGTTTATGTTTATGTTTGTGTGTGTGTGCTTGCGTTTGTGCTTGTGCTTGTGTTTGTGTTTGTGTTTGTGTTTGTGTTGGTGTTGGTGGTGTTGGTGTTTGTGTTTGTGTTTGTGTTTGTGCTTGAGCTTGAGCTTGAGCGTGTGCTTGTGTGTGTGTGCTTGTGCTTGTGCTTGTGCTTGTGTGTGTGTGTGTGTGCTTGTGCTTGTGCTTGTGCTTGTGCTTGTGCTTGTGCTTGTGTTTGTGTTTGTGTTTGTGTTGGTGTTGGTGTTGGTGTTGGTGGTGTTTGTGTTTGTGTTTGTGTTTGTGTTTATGTTTATGTTTATGTTTATGTTTGTGTGTGTGTGTTTGCGTTTGTGCTTGTGCTGTGCTTGTGCTTGTGTTGGTGTTGGTGTTTGTGTTTGTGTTGGTGTTGGTGTTGGTGGTGTTTGTGCTTGTGTTTGTGTTTGTGTTTATGTTTATGTTTATGTTTGTGTGTGTGTTTGCGTTTGTGCTTGTGCTTGTGCTTGTGCTTGTGCTTGTGTTGGTGTTGGTGTTTGTGTTTGTGTTTGTGTTGGTGTTGGTGGTGTTCGTGTTTGTGTTTGCGATTGTGTTTGTGTTTGTGTTTATGTTTATGTTTATGTTTGTGTTTGTGTTTGTGCTTGTGCTTGTGCTTGTGCTTGTGCTTGTGTTTGTGTTTGTGTTTGTGTTTGTGTTGGTGTTGGTGTTGGTGGTGTTTGTGTTTGTGTTTGTGCTTGTGCTTGTGTTTGTGTTTGTGTTTGTGTTTGTGTTGGTGGTGTTTGTGTTTGTGTTTGTGTTTGTGTTTGTGTTTGTGCTTATGTTTATGTTTATGTTTGTGTGTGTTTGCGTTTGTGCTTGTGCTTGTGCTTGTGTTTGTGTTTGTGGTTCTGTTTGTGTTTGTGTTGGTGTTGGTGTTGGTGTTTGTGTTTGTGCTTGTGCTTGTGCTTGTGCTTGTGTTTGTGTTTGTGTTGGTGTTTGTGTTTGTGTTTGTGTTTGTGTTGGTGTTGGTGTTGGTGCTGTGTGTTTGTGTTTGTGTTTGTGTTTGTGTTTATGTTTATGTTTATGTTTGTGTTTGTGTTTGTGTTTGTGCTTGTGCTTGTGCTTGTGCTTGTGCTTGTGTTTGTGTTTGTGTTTGTGTTTGTGCTTGTGTTTGTGCTTGTGTTTGTGTTTGTGCTTGTGTTTGTGCTTGTGTTTGTGTTTGTGTTGGTGTTTGTGTTGGTGGTGTTTCTCTTTGTGTTTGTGTTTGTGTTTGTGTTTGTGTTTATGTTTATGTTTATGTTTGTGTGTGTTTGCGTTTGTGCTTCTGCTTGTGCTTGTGTTTGTGTTTGTGGTTCTGTTTGTGTTTGTGTTGGTGTTGGTGTTGGTGTTTGTG